GCCCTCTGCTGGAAACAGAGCTCTCTTTGCTGCCCTGCGGACACTCCTTCCCCGGCCCCACAGGCGACAGCGTGTCAGCCCTGCAGCCCTCAGAGGCCACCCGCTCCGGCCACGGGAGCCGGACAGGACCTGGGTCCCTCCCACGGGGAGCAGGGGCGGAAGCAGAGCTGGGACCCCACCTCCGCAGACAGTGCTAAGGCAGCCGCTAGGCCTGTCGCTGTCATTCGCTGAGCGCACAGTAGGCCCTTGTGCTCTCAGCGGATATCCCGTCACCCCTCACAGCAGCCTGGGGGAGGTGGGGTAAGGGACAACATTGCCATGTTTCAGGTCAGAGACCCCGAGGCTGCAGAGCAAGGCGGGACCTGGCCCGAGTCCAGAGCCCTCTCACCCAACGCCGTTCGCAAGGGCATGTGTCCGTCTGCTGGGCCCCTGGCCACGCCAATGCCCTCGGAAAGCAGCCACAGTAAAAAACCTCGCCCTGGCCCGCTTGGCCCAGTGGATAGAGCGTCAGCCTTCGGACTAAAGGGTCCCAGGTTTGATTCCGGACAAGGGCACGTGCCCGGGTTGCAGGCTCGATCCCCCGCATCAGGGGACGTGCAGGAGGCAGCCGATCAATGATTCTCTCTCATCATTGATGTTTCTATTTCTCTATCTCCCTTCCTTTCTAAAATCAATAAAAAATGTATATATTAAAAACAAACAAACAAACAACAACAACAAAAACCCTAGCCCGGCCCAGCCAGCGTGGCTCAGGGGTCACGGTTTGATTCCTGGTCGGGCACCTGTCCAGGTTGCAGGCTCCATCCCCAACGGGAGACGTGCAGGAGGCAGCCGATCCATGATTCTCTCTCATCATTGATGTTTCCATCTCTCTCATCCTCTCCCTCTCCCTTCTTCTCTGAAATCAGTAAAAATATATATTTTTTTTAAATTTTTTTAAGTGGAAATTGAGGTCCAGAGAGGTCTAGAGCCGCAGCCAGCACAGACCTCGGGGCCAGCAGTCGGGCACGAGCCATGAGGTGTCGAGCTGGGCACAGGCTGAGCCCCTCTGCTCCTCCTTCGCTCTCATGAATGTGCCCCAGTCACACCCTCTGGTGCTGGCACCACTGCCTCAGGGAGCCCGGCTGGGACAGCAGATTATTCATTGCCAGGTGCCCGGCCGTCCTTTCTGCTTTCTGGCCCTGATGTCCTGACCCAGGTGCCACCTCAGCTCAGAAGAATGTGAGGGGGGGGGGCGCGGGGCAGAGGGTTAACCCTTCCCAGGCAGCACCGGCACCGGCACCAGCACCGGCACCGAACTCCTCCTCTCGGGGCTCTGAGCCCACGAGGGGCCCTGTGCTCCTCCCCTCTGGCCGGCGAGTGGTCCCTGGACACAGCACGAAAGCAAACTCACGTGGGTGCTGGGTGAACTCTGACCCCTGGGAGGGCTCTGCCGGCCCCGGGCTTCCTGGGTCCTGTGGGGACGGCTGGACCGGCAGAGGCCACTAGGTGGAGGCAGATGTCCAGTCACCGGGCCTCGCTCCTCCACCGTCACCTCCCACCTGCTGGCCCCCAGCCCCCTGCACCCCGGACACCAGGTGCCCGGGGGTGTGTCCCCACGGCCGCATCCCTCACTCCCCCTGAGGGCGCCCCAGTGGGCCCCCCAACGCTCTGCTCCCTTCCCC